TCTTGTTAACAAATTTTATTATATATATTTATTATTATGTATTAAATTTTATATAATATATAATAATGTAAAATAATAAATATATTATATAAATATATATTTATTATATATTTGCATGTGAATAATCAAACATCATTTATATCGATATTAAATTTAAAATTTTTCCAAAATACCATAAGGTATTATAATTTCATAATAAATTGTGATTTTAATAATATCAAATGATTATAATAAAATGTCGAAGTTAATATATTCTAAAATAACGCCCACCCGCAAAGATTTATTATATTTCGAGTGGTCAGCTTTTTGAGATAATGTTTGTGAAATATCAGAAAACAATCACTCCTGCGATAATTATGTTATTGCAGTGATAGGCCACGATAATATAAATCAGTTTATCGATATCAAGATATTTATTTGATTGAATGAATAAAAATCGGATGTTTATATCATTGATTCGCATAGAAAAATTAACGAATGAAGATATAGAATATGATTGTAAATATCTCGAAAAAGCTAGAGACCATAAAAAGCAGAGTGGACTTTTTATTTGAGAGTGATGTTTATTATACCCAGTGAGATAGTCTGGTCAGCACGCATTTTATACAGAAATATATTTTACTTTCGCGAGTGCCATGCAGTTTAAATGTACCATGATCAAGGGAACAATTTACTACATTTCTAATTCTCTCTCTCTCTGTATTTTATAAATCGTTTTAACGAGAACACAATTTAGAATCATAAAATAAACATGAGAATGTTTTTCAGATAATGAAAATATTGCTTTCATACATTTAAGACTTATAATGCTTTAAGAAATTATATATATTCCAAAGTAACGCTCACTCATAAAGAACATTTGTTTTGAGTGGTCAGTTTTGATACCACTCTTGCAATAATTATATTATGTTATTGCAAATAGACAATGATAATACAAATCAGTTTATATGATATCAAGATGTTTATCGACATCTTATTTAATAAAAATCGAAATTTTTATATCATTGAGTTTGTATAAAAAAATCTATAGTCTCTAAACTATATAACATACATTAAGGATTCATAATACTTTAACCTTTTGACTGCGGCGAAGTCTAATGCGTGACAGACGACACATATTTAACTGAGACCGATACTTGACAAAGAGTTCATAAAATTTTATAAATCTTTCGCTGTCGTGTAAAGCGTATCAGTTACTAGAATGAAGATATTTGAATAATGATAATAAAAATACTGAATCACCATTTTCTATATCATTTTGAAATCTAATTTACATACATATATTCTTACGATATGGAAATGCTGACAACAAAAGATTTTAAAAATAAGGAGCTACACATCAAATAAATAATTTCTAAATAATGATATGAGAAAAATAATTCGAATAAAGATAAATCAAATAATCCTGTTATGATCAATATTTTTAATATTTTTATAGAACGGAATTAAAGAATTTTATTATTTATTAAATAGATACACATTATGTTTTACAAAATTTGAAATATTAATATTATAATGCATTTCCATATTAAGATCTGTCATTAAAGAGATAAATCATATAGAAATAATTTAAAAAAAGAAAAGTGATTCATATATTCTATGAAAAGGAAGATATATATAAAAGCATATCGCAATAAAAGAGACTATAATGCAAAATCTATAAAATATACATTATGTTACGACTGACAATTTCGCATAACATGCACGCCAGCTTCCACGGTACTTCGCTTGTCAATAAAAATTTTGCCGCTTCACTTTGTAGTAACGATGATGCATAAAATATGTGATACTTTGCATTTTTTGCACTCGCTTACAATACCGCGTTGTTTGTCGAACGTTAAACATGTATTATTAAGTATGAATAAGCGGTGCATTCTCTTTATTTTTCTTATAATATACATCATTCGACGTTTAAGCAAGTTTAATCACACGTCGTGATTACAATTATTATTATGAGTGTTTGATCTTCTCATTATTTCATCGCGAATGATAATTTCCTTTGATGTAGCAGTAATTTATTCCCGACTGCCAATTAATGCAGTACTCACGTGACATTATATATATATTGTATAAAACCATGGAGTTTTATCTTTAGTAGAAAGTAAGTAGTAGAGGGTGTCTGTTTGCTCGATAAATACTTAAGCATAAATTTATCAGCGAGATAGCAGAATTGCATTGTCCGTTGCTCACTGATAATGATTTATCTCGTTTAAAGAGGTAATCAACGTTCTTATAAAAATCATCTTCATTTCTAGAACAGCGATTATTATGGAGCCATGTCTGAATCTTTGTGATTGCCTTATTTCATTACAGTTTTCTTTTTCATCTTCATTGCGACTTTCTTTAATACAATTGACGTGAATCTTTACGTCATACTAGCGAAAACATAATAATGTCTTGCGCATATATGTAAATATCTTACATGTATGTATCATACAATGTATACTTTACTCTTATCAGTCTATTTGTTTTAAATCAAACTTATGTCAAACGAAATAGAAAAAAATATGATGTAGATATAAGATATATGATAAGCATTAGTCTTCAATTGTAACTCAATTAATAGAAACTTCTATAATAAATAGAACTTCGATTGATAAAAAGAACTATAATAAATAAAATTCTATACAATATCAGTGTAATGTGTTAAATAATAGTTCTTCAAATATTGACCATATATATTCAGTATAATTGTTTCGATATAATCAGTTTAAGTAATATTTGAAAAAATAATTGTTAAATATGTGAATATATTATTAAGTAAAAAAACATAATGTTAATATATAAGTATAAATAAATTATTAATAGAAAATTATTAAAACATAAATTACTGTAAAAATAAAAAATAATTACAAATAATAATTAAATAATTTATTTTCTCGTAAAACATTACGTTTATATATTCCATTCTTATATATTATATTATAAACCAACGAGTTTAACATCAATATTTTCATATATTTTGTTTAAAGTTTTCTTATATTTTATTATAATATTTTCTTATATTTTATTATGGTTAAATGGAATTAATCATAAAAAAGTTGAAAAGAACGAAAAAAGTGAAAGTTTCAAAATTTATTTTTTCCTTTCACAGACTATTGCTTAGCAAGGGAATGTAAAATAAAGTCACGCTAAAAATAAATCTGTTATCAATTAATAAAATTTACACATTTCCGTTTACATGATATCTGCTATATATTATATAGATTTTTGCAAATAACATGTCACGTCGTGAAAAATGAGATCATAATTCTTAATCAATTTTGATATTGTATCTGACAAGACACAGACGTATGTTCACATGTACATTGTGAAGCATCATAAAATTAGTGTCACATATAAGATAGACATTCCGAATTACAAAAGTTATTTGTGTGTTGTGTATCAGAAATAAATATTTTCTCGAACTTATCTTATCGTTGATTTATAAGATACAAAATACTTAAAATGTGGCAACATTTTAGACGTGTTAAGCATCATTATAATGCTTGCTTTGCTATCTTTTCATAAACTTTCATTTGATTAATAAATAGGTACGGCTTCAACGAACAATTATTTTATTTTCTAGTTTAATCACGGCACGCTGAAGTTTAATTATGCATTTTTTTAAATTTCTTTCAATTTAGTGTTTCTCCGTACTTCTTTAATCATAATGATTTATAAACTATAGACAATGGAAATATCAGAAATCTTTTCTAAAAAAATTGATCACTTTAAAATATATACATATAATAAAATTTATTTAATTTTTTAATAAATTTTATATTTATTTTAAACTAGTCTCAAATATATTTAATATTTAAAATTAACTACAAAAAAAAAATAATAATCTTCTTTAGCATGTTGATCAAATCTAAATTGATTGAAGAATTTTTTAATGGAAGCTAACTCTGACTCTATTTGATACTGAAGAATCTGGTTGTGCGATAACGAAATCATTTAATTCTATAATTGCTTGTTTTCCACCATTTTCGTTCTGATAAGGTAACTTATTGCAACGACAGCATATCGACTACTTATTAAATTCCAGAATTAATAATAAGAATTAATTAATAACATCATATCACCGATAAAAGATCTTTTCTTAAAATAAATCAATTAGAGATGCTGTTTTTTTAATTACTACAACTTACTAATCTTATTAATTCTTCATTATTAAATCTACATTGCTCAACATTGTTTTTTATGAACACACTGTATGCTCAAATAGTAAAACGATAAATATTCTGTTCGGAAATATTTGTATTCTTTTTGAAGAAAATGATCATAAATGAACTAGACATTTATACGATGAGAATCATTCAAGTTTAATTGTATTACGTGAATACATGAGGTAATCGAGCACAAACAAACGCTTCAAATATTACTTATGTTACTTTTGAGTGACAATTAAATTCTTCATTGTGCATGTGTTACTCGATTTTTATTACCTCTTGATGAGATGGTGGATTGCATTGCAAAAATACGAAAATTAGTATTGTAAAAACTATAGATACTCTCGCTTATGAAATTAGATGGATTTATTTAAATATTTTTATAAGATATTTGCAAAAAATGTTTTATAAATACTATTTAATAAAATGTTATTAAATATCCTTTTTATAATATATAAATCATATCAATAAATCATTAATATGATATATTAATCTTAATATTTATATGTTGCGTTATTACATAAATAATTAATATAATATATTAATCCTAACATTTATATGTTGCGTTATATTACATAAGTATTTAATTTCAAAAAATAATAAAATCTTATCTCAAAAATCAATATTTTAAAAAGATATTTGATTCAAAATTCATTCAAATAAAATTTCTTTTTACGTTTGAAAAAAAAAGAGAGAGAGAGATAAAGACAATCTTCGATACAATTCCAATATTTACAAATATATAATTTTTAAACTTTTTCTGTAGCATCTGACTTCTCGAGTTATACAAAACTTTATTACATTTATCTTCATTCAAGCAGTATTTTCCATGCAAATATGTTTCAGAGATTTAAACGGCACGACAATGTCGACGATAATAGCTAGCAAAACGGAAGAGCAGATCTCGAACGCGAGCAAATCGCAGCAAAATGATCGCAACAAGATTGATGAGCTGCAGCTCGAGGACGTTAACGACAATAACAATGATGAGGTGAGTCGACAACGCGCACCATACATACGTTAAAATGCAAAAGCTGCAAAAAAGAGCGCATCGCGCGATTATTCGCGCCACAGGCCACAGCTTTGGCGATCAGTATGTTCGCGTTGAAAGTAATGGGTGGATCGTACATACATATGTTATAAACTGCAAGTGCGATATCATATTTGCGACATACTAATGGATCCGATAGTCCTTGTCTCGCTAAGGGTCATCTAAAAGCGGACACGCATTCCCTGTTGAATTTTTCGTTATCAATCTGCCTCAAATTTAACAACGTAAACTACTGCTGTCTCCGTTCGCTCTTAATTTTAGCGAGCGATGATAAAAAATCGCTTTGATTTTTATGCCGCGAATAACTGATAATATATTTTGTACACAAAATAAAAATAGACACTTCGGACAACGAATCCGGATTATACATTATTTGTGTTTTCGATCGTGAGAAAGTAAACTTTATACTTTCATATTCATCGACGGAACCTTTGCAAGAATAAGACAAATATAAGACAATTTTCTGAGATGTAAGAAACGCTTCGCGTTCTTTGATCACGTTGATTTCATCTCTTCTCTTTATTTTCGTACTTAATCGATTTAGATCGAATATTACACATAAATTTTTTCTTTTCTTTATGAATTACACAAATGATAATATTGATAATCAAATTGCAACTTGAATGTATAATTTTTTTACTTGTTTAAGAACTTAAAAAAATATTGATTTTTCATAATTATTAAATTGAATTAAATTTTTCTTTAGATTCCATCAGGTGAAACACACACATTATTTTAAATTGAAGCTATGGAAGATAAATACGCAAGCATTTACGGTTAAGTTAATGTTTTAAGCGGCTTGGCGGCGAATTGATAACTTTCAAAGTTTTAGGTCACGAAACGGCCGAAATACTAAAGGCTGGCCTCTCGGCAGCTTTCTGAGTGGCCTTGATCTTAGTACCTTGTAAATTTCCAACGAACGAAAATGTTGATGGTGAAATCAGTCGCAAATGATTAAAAAACAGTCGCAAATTAATCAAACTTGTCTTAGCAAATTATATCATATTTTATCGTATTTTTTAACAAGCAAAAAACCAATGCAATGAATATTATCTTTAATGATTATTATCCTTATTGATGATTGAGGCATGAAAATTCCAATTTTATTGTTTGTTTTGCACACAATTATGCACACTTTGCGGCTAATGTAAATAAAATGTAACATTTATAAATTGTAGATAATATAATTGTTCCTAAAACTAATAACTAGCTATTAATAATTTTAAGTTGTTTATCGCATAAGCAAGATTTGTGATTATTATATTTAAACTCTATTTTTTAACGTAAATTCTTTTAATTTAAATTAACCCTTTTAACGTACATTTTTTAAATTAAATTAAAACTAATATATTTAAATTATCATAGTTAATTTCTCAATAATGTTATCTTTATATATTTCTTTTCTTATTTTAAATAATTCATATTCAAGGATACTCTCGCTAATTTTGTTTTAAGCATCGTAGCTAAAAAAGCCTCGTATCTATTAGCTATTTAAACAAACCCTCGTTTTCAAACGCGAACAAACATCGGCTGCAAAAATTTCCATACTAATTAGAAGTCACAGGTCTTCAATTTCTTCTATCGCGTTTGTATAAATCCAAAGCAAATTTTCGTTTTAATTGTATTTTTTTCTCGAAAAACAGATTACGGCAAATTCTAATTTATTTATCATACAATTTCCTATACATATTGCATATTAAAAATATTATCCAAAATATTCTCATATTCAATATTACATATGCTCAACTTTTTATATGTATAGCTTTTTATCATGTTGCTTATTCTTTTATATTATAATAAAAAAATTTTTTTGCATATAATTACAGCTACATTTTATTTATTTAACCTATATCTAATATAATAATTTTTAATATAATATTTTTATAATCTTAATTTAATGCAATATTAACATATGTAAATAACATCTTATTTATATATATGCTTTTCTTTTATTGATATATTCTCTCTTTTATTATCAATATAAAAACTCTAACTCTCTCTAATTCTTGAATACAGCTCTATCTGATTGAAATAAATTGAAAATTTAAGCAAAAAATGCAGCAAAATTTAACTATTTTGTGATAATTTTGCAAAAAAGCATCTAATGAATTTTTGTTAGATACTTATGAATCACTGTAAAAGTTTTGTGGGTTAATAGACCATCGAAGTGGAAATGGTGGTACCACCTGACGGAGGATGGGGCTGGGTGATTGTTGGAGCCTCCTTCATGTGCAACTTTTTCGTCGATGGTATCATCTTCAGTTTTGGCGTATTCTTGAATGAAATCGCGGGTGCATTTTCCATATCGAAAGCGAGAGTCGCACTTGTCAGTTCATTACAAACTGGATTTTATCTCATGGCTGGTTAGTAGCGACATGTATGTAACATTTAATAACAAGTCCAAATATTAATTTTAGAACGCTGGATTTCAACAGTATTTCATTTTATCATAAAAATATATCATGTCTCATCATATATCATACATCTTATTGGATACAATGTTATTTTCATGGTATTTTGAACTTATTATTAAAAAATTTTAAATAATACTTTCTCGTTCTGATGTTTCAATCTTATGCTTTTGTTTCTTCTTATGATTTCAAAACTAGCTTTCAAATAAATATAAAGTAGTAAAGAAAATAAAAATTAAAAATAAAATAAAAATGCTATGTATTATAAAAATGTTGTAATTTTTGTTGTTTTTACAAGATTAATCCTAAATTCAATAATTTAATAAGATTTTAATGAAGAAAAGAATATATATAGCCTATTTAAAAGATGTATAAGATTTCAGATATATTTCCTTCCTACCAATAATGATTAATCTATCAAATTTATATAACAATATGCTATATCAGTATTGTATAATAATAAGTATGTGCCGTATAATTAACTATCGCTATAACTGTAATATATATAGCAGTACAAAAAAGAGTAAATATGTTTTGAGTTATCAATTCATAAAATTCAATAAATTAGAAACATAAATCTAACAAGTACAACGAATACAAAAAATCTCATATCGTTAAACTAATAGATTAAATATATAATTCATTTATTTTAGATAAAATATTAGATAAACTATTTTAGATAAACTACTTTAGATATGTTATTTACAATATTGAAGTTAATATTTTTTCAAGATTAAACTACAATATGGACGCAATATATTGTTGAATGAACAAAATTGATAAATCTGTCTGTAAAATAGCGATATAATAAACTCGCATTTGGAACATCTTCCTGATATCGAATCGATCGATAAAGTAACATATGACACTTGTATTTGCGTCAGAATTAGCATCGCAATAAGCAATCATTTGTATAATCAGTCTCAAGGATTTTCGCAATGCAATCCAGAAAAATAAATATGTAGAAACTTTTCCATTCAGCGCTCAATTTAACATACAATGAATGCTTTAAACAATACTTAATGCGTTTAAATTATCGTAATCTCAAAGATTAGATAAAATTTCAATAATTAGTAATCACATTTCATAAACATTAAACGCATTTAATTTTATTCTAGTGTATAATATCTAATGACTTTAAATTAAGATTTGAAAAAAAATACATGACGATTTATATATCATTATGAAAAATATTCCTTCATATACAGTACGTAATTAGCATAGCAATGCACACGGGCGCAGTAAAAATGTATTTAATTACTCGTGATGATAAAGAGTAATGTTTAAGGACTTGCTTTCTGCAATATATCTTTAATATTGTGTAATATATGTTTCTGAGAAATTAAGAATTATTTATGTATTATATATACGATCAGCTAATATATAAAAATATTTTACATATATATATATATATATATATATATATATATATATTTCATAAGCACAATTTTTTCACTATTTTTATATTCGCAAATTTTTTACAATTTTTTCACTATTGCTATATCAAAAGATCTATATTTATCATATAATATAAAATTAAGATCTAGATCAATATTAATTAAAAAATTACATTTGAAACATGAAAAATATCTATAAACTATATATATAAATGCTATTTAAGAATATTAAGAATTTACGTAAATAGTTTAAATTTAATAGTTTAATTATAATAAATATTTAAATTAAAAAAATTTTTTTTATATTTTTCCATTTTATTATAATATTCCTATAAATGATAAATATTCCTATTTTTAATTACATATAAATATTTTTTAAATAGCTTCAAATATGATATCACTTCACTATTGTATAATATTAATAGCAGTATATATCAATAAAAGTAATTAAGTAATTAATATCGTATATTTATAAATATACGATAATATACGATTAATAAAAGTAATTAAGTAATTAATATCGTAATTAAGTAATTAATATATTTATAAATATACGATATATATTATTTTTACAAATTTTCTTGACTTATTTGAGGATTTGCTATTTGCTAATTTGTGTAAGTTAAACAGTTATTGTTAAACAATGTACACAATAATTAATATCTCCAAATACAATCAATTGAAATCAAATAATAAAAGTGTAAACGAGTGATTTGCATGTTTTTATCCAACCGAATAGCTGAAGATTAAAGATTTATAATCATTGATCAAATAAAACATTTACATAAATTAAATTATGTATCATTTTTTCTAGGACCCTTCGTGTCCGCCCTGGCTAATCGATATGGCTTTAGACTGGTGGCGATATTAGGAAGTGTAATAAGTTGTATCGCTTTCGTCCTCTCGTATTTCAGTACATCTATCGAATTCCTTTACATTTCTTACGGCGCAATCGGTGAGTTCTTTTCTTTTTATCTCAGATATTTCTTATACAATTATCTGGCATCTCCATTAAGTTTCGTATAGAATCTTCTTATGTGTACACACACGTATTTCCAATTATTTTTTATTTAATTTTGCACGGATGGTTCTTTGCGAGAATTCAAGCATCTTGTATTAATATTTAACTATCGGAGAAATTATTAATATTTCGATATTTAAAAATTTTACATTATTTATATATTTTAAAATAATGCATAAAAATTGATTATATAGGATAATATACAATATGTATTAAAAATTAAAGAATATATTGCAAAAAATTTGATATAAAATTTCGTCGCGGAAATCGACTTATTCAGAGATCGTATATTTTAAAACGAAAACAAATATTAGAGAGATTTATGTACAAACATTCTCTCTTTAAAACAAAACTTTCTGTCAAAAACTTAGGTGGTATCGGTGCGGGATTGATATACGTGCCAGCCGTAATAACTACCGGATTTTATTTCGAGAGATGGCGAGCTTTAGCTACAGGTATCGCGGTATGTGGCTCTGGAATTGGTGCATTTTTGCTTGCACCGATCTCAGATATACTCGTAAAAAATTTCGGCTGGAGGGGAGCTCTGCTATTTCAAGCAGGTGAGTTTTATATGATGTTATAATGTTTAGATACATTTAAAATGTTTAAAACGTTTAAAAAAGTCAAAGATATATAATATTCATTAATTCAATTTCTGTTATAATATATTATGATATGATAAAGAAAAATATATATTAATGAATAAATTTTTATATCGACAAATGTATAACATATATGTATATACATATATATTTATATTCATTAAAATTTTAATATATAAAAACTGTAAAATATAATTATATGTAATGTAGTTATATATAATATAAATAAATACCTAAATATTATAATATCAGTATTGGTATGAAAAAAACTTGTGTGACTTATAGGCATGCTATTAAATTGCGCCATATTCGGCGCATTGTTCCGTCCTTTAAAACCAACGAGAATTAAGGTGAAGAACACCTCAGAAAACGCCGCGCTCGAGGTAAAAACTGCGTTGATAGGAAAGGGTGTGTCAACGACCTCATTACATTGTGTGCAACCGAATAGAAGTGGTTTCTTTGGCACGAATAATAACACGGAATATCCGACGGCAGCAGAAGTTTTCAGAAGTAACCCTAATATAGTAAAGTAATAAACTAAAGGTTCCATTTATATATGACAATAATCGTTTCACATCACTTTACGGGATTCATTGATTTCTGTTCCAGCTCTAAGTCCTTGCATTCGTTGCACAAAGTGCACGTGGAGACACAGTTGGAGAGGAAGGTGAGCAGTTCGGAGAAACAGCTATCCTCGCCGATATATCCTGACTTGGACGTTGTAAATAACGAAGAAAAGATAGCCGAAGAGAACAATCTGCTCAGCGGCGACTTGGAACGGTTAAACGGACAAGTACCAACGGTACGATCTATATGTATATATATACATGCATGTATATGTTAGAAGAACGAGAAATTCAAGTGCTATAAATTTGAATTTGCAATTGATCGTAAGACTGCAAACTGAAACGAACACGTCTATAAAAATATCAAAATGATTGATATGTGAAAAACAAAATACAAATATATTGTTTATCTAATTCGTTTGAGATTGACGAATTAAAACAAAATCGCGAAAATGTTCAGATTGTACATCAAATTTGACAAACGATGCAAACTCGTTACTTCAGATCTCAGCAGTTTCATTTATCTCTTTTGTTGTTTTCAAAGGAGTTGTTTGAAGGATATCTAAAATATAGACGTTCAAGAAAAAGCAACTATGTTTATTATTGCCAAGAAACGAAATTGAGCACTTTTAAAGTTATAAAAGTCAATCGTTGGCCTAGAAAATCCATGATTCGTGAATTACTTATTTTTGCTAACACCTCTATTTTTGTACAATTTACGAAAAGATATTTATAATATTTATAAAATATTAATTGTACAAAAATAAATTTCCTGTTTCGAAATTATTATTTTGTAATTACAAATATTTTATTTTAGATTCGCCGACATACGATACATAGCGCCAGACGCCTTCGAACAGATTCTGAATGCAGTCAAAAGTCTCTTAAAATGGGCAAACGAAATCCTAAAGATCCGCAGAGACCGTTTTATAGAGATGATATTTTTTATGGCGGCTCTTTGAACAGACTTTCTCATTACAGATCGCAGGTAAATTCTATCAATTATCTTCACAAAATACTGCTAACAATATAAATAATATATAATAAAAAATTTTATGTATATTAATTATATCTGAAAAAAATATTTTTTGGGACGCAAAATATTTGCTTCTTTCTAATCTTAATTCTATAAAAACGCCAAATAATAAATTAAACTGGATTAGAATTAAATTGATATTAATGAAACGGCGATTTCGTATAAATATTTTACTTAGAATCAGAAGCTTGTAATTTTGCAGCAATCATCGGTTGGTTATCACATGTCAGTGACGCGGCTGCCAACAGCAACGGATGTAGCGGAGGAGAAGAGTGGAAGTTGCTACCTGTGTCCGGAAAGTGTGAGACGAATTCTGACCACAATGCTCGATTTAAGTCTTCTAAAAAGTCCTTCCTTTCTAATACTAGCGATTTCTGGCGGCCTCACCATGATGGGCTTTTATACACCTTTTATGTACCTGCCAGGTACGTATATCAAATGATCCATAATATTTGTTCTTCTACAGCTTTTTAATCACATATAATTTGTAAGAAAAAATAATACGTATCACTTGGAATTTTCTCACTTGGAATTTTCTCACTTGGAAAAAATAATACTTGGAATTTTCTTTCTAACAATATAACTTAAAATAATACAATTAAGAAATAATAAATTAATAAAAATTGATTAAAATTATCAAAAATAAAAAACAAAAATGAAATAATAAATAAATAATATTTACACTATAAATTAAACAGAAATAGAGTTTTAATTTTAATTTTATTATTAAAAATTTTAAGATCGTTATTTATTAAAATATTTTTTGCATTTATAGTTAAAAGAGCTAAACTTATAAAAGGATATCATTTATTTCTACTATATTCCTATAATATATTTTTACGCGTTATTTTGTTTATTTAAAAGAGATTTTTTTTTATTTGCCATTCTTGCAGATCGAGCTATAAAGGGTAACATGGATACTTCTACGGCCATGTTCCTCGTTTCGGTGATTGGTATCGGTAATACCATCGGTCGTATCGTTTGTGGTCTAGCAAGCAGTTTCCCTGGAGTTAATGCTTTGATCGTGAATAATATGTTTATCAGCGTTGGCGGTTTAGTCACAATATTCTCCGGCATTTCTCTGACGGAGGGATATCAGTTTTTTTATGCAGCCAGCTTTGGTCTTAGTATATGTAAGCAGTATATGCGAGCAGTATATGCGAGCTCTTAAATTTTCATTATAAATCTTTTATAGATATATCATCTCGTCTAATACACAATATTTTGATTTAAAATGTTTACACCAATGTGGTTTTAATTTTATATTTATAAAATTTGCAAGAAAATATTTTTTTTCAGCTGTCTTTGCTTCTTTGAGATCGATTCTAGTTGTGGATCTGCTCGGTTTAGAAAAACTGACAAACGCTTTTGGACTGCTTCTTCTGTTTCAAGGCGTGGCAGCGACTGTAGGCGCACCTCTCGCAGGTAATTAAAATAAAATCATATTGATCATACTGATCATATTTCTCGGACTATATTTTCATAAATACCGACGCTAAAAATTCATTTTAATTAAATAATGCTAATTTATACTTTGCAACTTTTATCTGACAGCGATATCGAGCGGATTATTCCTCGATTGCAGGAAATATTTATATCGTTCGTTAAAATTACTCGATATTATATGTGCTGATCTCATAAATTGTTACTTTATGATCAATGAATCAGAAAACTTCGACGTTAATTCATCCAAATGATATTCACACATGTGTAAACAGGTGCACTCATGGATGCGACTGGAAGTTACGACGCCTCGTTTTATCTATCTGGCAGCTTGATTCTCGTATCAGCTGTGATTTGTTACCCGTTAAAAAGAATTAACATGTGGGAAAAGCGTAACGAAGAGAATCCAATGACGGACCCTTCCGCATCCTGATCGAAGACGCAAAACTATACTACATTCAACATATTCCACGCGCGTGCTTAAATGCGCTTGATGCATAATTTATAGCATAGCATGCATTTGAATCGAGAATATAATTATGCCGTACGCGCTCACGCCATCGAATAGATCGAATAAAAAACGATCGATCTCGTGCGCGCGATTGATTGCATTTGCTCGCGCTTAAAAACAGCTTCTTGGAGCAGAATCCGAGCATGTATCTGGAAAATCTGTTTATATTATAAAAAGAGAATGGAAAGGAAAGTGCCTTTGACATGCTTGAATCCACTTTGATTCGCGCGTTAAAGCTTTGATCGTTTCCTTTGATTTCTTAATAGGACTTCATGAAGCAATGTAACAATTTTATCTCAATAATTATAATATAATAATTTTATCAATAAATTTATCATATCAATTGTAAATTTCTAATAAGCGATCTATGCATTCCATTGGACAATAATTCCAATTTTTGATATTATAGTTTTGGTTTTTAAAATTTTTGATATTATAGTTTTGATTTTTAAAATAATAGAAAAATAATAAAAAAAATAAATACAAAGTAAAATTTTACGAACTTTATTTTGTATTTATAAAGATAGATAATTATAAAGATAGATAAAATTTATAACTTTTACACACACACATACATTCTATTGATCTATGTAACTGTTCCTTTTATTTACTAGCAAAAAATACATCACAAAAATATAAAGTCGTTTCGTAAAATAGGATCCAAATTCGTTTACATTATCTGTCTTTTACTTAATGTCCGTATAAGAGATAAAATATTTATGCGTTATATTTCGTGCGAAATTTTATTTTTATAATTTTTCCAAATTTTAAATTTATAATTTAAATCATGTTATGATATAAAATTTTAAAAAAGCTTCCATTAAATTGTTAATTTGCTAATTTACTATTAATCTCAACTGTGAATAATGACTTGAAATTATTAAGATAATTGTGACATCACAATATTTACTAATACTGTATTTACTAATTAATTACTATATTTACTAATTTAAAAAAGAGCTAGTGTAATCATCATTTAATGTCAATAAAATAAAAATAATATTTATTATTTATAATTCTAGAATTTGTAATTAAATTTGTAATTTAGTTATATGAAAAAGATAATTACACTAATCTGTTTTTAAAAAACATATATTTATACTATTTTTATAGTATAAAAAAATAAAATTTGCAAATAATATAATAAAAATTACTATAAGATAAAAATTTATTTAATAGATGGTCATATCGCAAAAATTGATTATTAATTCTATCATTGAACATTATAATGTCATGATTAACTTAAATGAAATGCAACGGTACAAACAGTAAAAAAATTATTGTCTCAATCGAATATTCTTTTAGCAACCGAAACTTCATGAAGAAGTAGAATGTTGAGCTGATTAAATTTATTATGAATCAGTTGTAATATTATTTGTATTTTATAAAGCAAAATTTCTCTCTTTCTCTCTAGCAAAAGAAATTAAAATTAGATAATATGGACATTTTAATTATATTTTAGATATAATTATATTTTATTTATAATAACCTGCATTTTGCACATTATTGACATTACATAATATATTATACTGAAATACTACAAACTGCCATATATGCATCACATATAATTCTTAATCTTTTATAAGATTTTATGTAAACATTTATATCATTCACTTGTGTATATTCCATAAATAAAAATTAAGAGAAGAAAACAAAGTATGTATATAATGTGCATTATGCATGTGTTCATATGACATCTGATGTCTGTATTGATGATTTGTATTTTACCATGTAATTTTTTTTCACAAAATGTAATTTTTTCGATGTAATTTTCGATGCTATTTAAAAACAGTATATTAATATTTATTTTTAAAATTTATTTTTAAAATTGGCTAAACTTTTCCTTATAAAATCCATATATAATCAAAGACTATTTTTAAATAATAAAACTCAAGTGCTTATGACACAATGACATAATTAAAATTGTCAATATTTTTGTACAAAGAAATTATTGCATTCAAATGATTTTATTAAATAAGGATTTTATTAAATAATTTCGAATTTTTAAGATTATTGTTACATAAATTTATGAGGAATTTAGTTAATTTTAAAATTAATCAACTCGAATATTTATTGATTAGATAAAGTTATGACGTTTTATCTATTAAATGTAAGGAAATTATTTAAAAATCAAATCCTAATATTGTTCCTAATATTGTTAATTATTAATTCAAGTAATAAATGTACGCACATCTTGTATATTATTTTTGTAAGTTCATGCGCAAATCTTCAGAAATGCATTATGCGAAAAACTTTTGCAGATAAATGAAATTACGAAATTATAACAAAATATTAAATGTAATCAATTTAGAGATTAAAGTACGTTAAGAGAATTAAATTTATAAGATAATTGTATTATTTTTTTATATCTATCTTTATTCTATCCTAATCTATTTGCTTACTAAAATTAACAAAAAATATTTTTTCAATATAAATGATTTTTTGCAAAATTTGGAGAAACATATAGTATTCATTGTTAAGAAAATTTTCTTAAACAATCAATTTTCACAAACAATTAATGCATGAATATACTCTGAACTATATGAAAACTGTTTCAGAATAAACAGAATTCCCGAAAATCGATCAATATTTCATTTGAATTCGTATATGTTTGACGATGATTGTTTTATTTTAATCGATGTTTTCATTTTAAAAAATATAACTCTTTCTAAAAGTATATATATATATATATATATATATATATATATATATAAAACTATAAATATTAAATTAAAACTATAAATTTCTGACGAAAAAATGATAAAAAATGTCGCAGAACAAATTGAGACATTATATTTGGCTTCTCAGTTTGTTTTAAGGCATTTTTTTAATGTTTAGAATTATTTGTTCAAGTTATAAATAAAAATGATAAAATTTTTAAAAATAAAAGAAGAATTCTTAATTATCAGTTTTCACGAAATAATACAGCAGCTTCACACATGTAATACAAGATCAACTCATATTTCGCTAATATACTATTCTATATACTTGCTGATAAATCTTTGTCAATATGTCAAAATCACAGAGTTCTGTCTCTTGAGAGAGGATGTGAATCATATGTCGACGCATGAAATCGTGAATTATCATATAACTATGTACTAGTTTCATTTGCAATGTGATATGTCACGAAAACAAACATATTTACCGCGAATAAAGTGACGCACCGCGTTGTGCATCATATAGATACATAACGGATAGATACATAACGGAAGGTAGAATACAGTAAAAGTGCAAACGATGTTTTTCTTCGACATGACATATGCAAAGTGCATCGACACGTGTTATTTATTGTAGAAAACTGAATGCTGACTGAAGTACATAAATTACAATGTTTACGAAGACACCAAATGGCATACTAATATCAATGTTTCCAAAAGACAATTCGCGTACTATTGTGTGAGATAAGGTACAAAAATAGTGTAAGTTCTCTTAAAATCAAAAGTTATGCAATGCTTGATAAGAACATGGATGCAATATGTGTGTGTGTGTGTGTTTGAAACTCATAAATTGTTAGCTCTTTTTTGAGCTAACAATTTATATGTTGTATGTATTTCTAATGTAAATTATGTATTTTATATATGAACAATTTTATAGTAATTATTATATATTATGTAGTCTTTGCATTTTTATAAAAATATTTTTAATTGCAAAATTCACAAAGTCTTTGAAGTGCAATTGTATTATTTTGTTTTCTTGCTTATGCACATATTTTCGATTATTTATTCTGAATTTCTTATTTTCGATTATTTATTCTGAATTTCTTTTTCCTTCTGTATTATCTATAATTATCTGTATCGATAATTTTTTAGGTGATTCCAATGGCGGATAATCGGTAATCGGTATCGGAAATTTAAGTAGACTCTGCCAGAATACAGCCATAAAGCGAATTGCTACCCATATTATCTATAATCTTGTTCATTTTTACTTCGTATTATACGAGTTCGCTGACTTCAGCACTTTCGTCAGAATTGATTGATATTTCTTTTTTCTCCACTCAACCATGTTCAAGCAAATTATTGCCATTCATTTAAACTAATATTCTCCTCTACTGATCTTTCCATTTTGTCTAGATTTTTGTTTCTTTCCTATAGTGAAATCGTGCAGTATTGTATTTTAATTTTAAAATTTTTATATGCTTTTTATACCTGATAAAACATATAAAACTTCGCATGTTAAGACGTTTTTTATATATTAATAAATGTTTCGTCAAATATTATTTAATACCAATTATTCTAAACAATTTCTTATGCCAATTACGTAACATTTAGACGCATGATTAGTTTTCATTCAATTCCCGTGTCAAATTTGCAAATTTTTATTTTTATTTATAATTTATTTAAATGCAAATCTCTGGAAATATTTTATCGCATTGTGTGTCGATTACAAAAATGTTTGCATTAAAAACATAATTTAATAATATAATTGTAGAGATACATAATTTTTATAAATTTTCTCATATTTTTAGAGATTTAAAAAAATCTGACCAATAAAAATATTCTCTTTCATTTTCTTCTTATTTTCAACTCAATTTATTTTATTTCTTTAACAATGTAAATTTAATGCATATATTATTTAATAAATGTTCAACATGTAATCACACGAAAATTTAATGAGAGGAATGCTAGAGAGTATTATACATTTTATTTCATGATATTCATTATTATATCAAGTGCAATATTTTTCTATATATATAAATAAAATATACAATAAAAATACTTTAAGCACAGATTCAAGAGCTAAAATGCGAAATATCTATAAAAGCAAGAAATTTTCCAAGTAAAAGCATAAATTATTTTTTTCATTAAAAGCAACTCACTTTCCATCTCGTGCGTATTCTTAAAGCCACTTTCGATCGCGTGCTTTCCACGAAATTGCGACAATATTTCACACACAAGAGTTCTCTCTTGCTGTTCAATTTAAACAAACTGCGCTAAACGGGAGAAAAGTTTGAAAGGCGAGTTTGGACAAGAAGCTTCGTATAAGTTCTCTGTGTATTCTATGAGATCATGTAATAAGAATAGCATGTATTTGAAATTATTATTATATAATTTTTGTTAGAAAATTTTATTTCTTCTTTATTTCATATTCTCAAATATATAATATCCTTCATTATAAAGAACTTTTTAATAAAATAAATATTATATTTAAAAACTGACACCATTAGAAAACTAAAAATTGTTATAAAATATAGTGAAATTTAATTAATTGACGATATTAAAAAAAATACATTTAAAAAAATTAAAAATTGATCATAGCAATACTTTAAAGTTATTTTCGTAATCAATATTATATTTTTTAGTTTTAAATTCAACAACTCTCTATGCTATAATTGTTTTTCTTAAAATCTACGCAAATAAAAGATCGTAG